GTAAGAAGTCGTGTTCCCAACGCTATATAATATCACAAACCCAGGAAAAGAAGTAATGTTTCATTAAAAAATTAAAATAAAACCAAGACACAATTTTTGTAGTTTTGACTTTGGAGCCACATAAACATTTAACATAGAAGTTAAATCTATTTTTTTTTTTAAAGATTTATTTATTTGTACATACAGAACTGGGGCACAGGCCAGAGGCTCAGGGTCGGCGAGAGGCTTCACCAGAGACAGAGTGGGGAACAGAACAGGCAAATAGACGAAGTACACTGCTGAGGGGAGCAGCGGGCCAGTCAGGAGAGGTCTGCCGCGCCATGTGGGTCACCTCTCTGGCCAGGGATCGATCTCATGCTGAAGTGGCTTTAGCTTCTTAGTGCTGTGCTTTAACCTGCTGCGCCACCAGGGAGGGCCGTTAAATCTAATCTAAATCTAATTTTAAAAAGTATTTCTAGCTCCAAATTTTAAAAAGTATCTCTAGCTCTGCTTCTAGCTCACCAGATATGCCTCTTCCAGCTCCTGTCAGTCAGGACAGTCCCAGTTCTGGGCCCATGGCCCTGGGCCCACAAAGGTTAAACCACTATTAAAGTATTGTTTCTGGTTTAAGCTATGCAGGTAAAAGAGTTTCATTTGAGTTCTTAAACAGCCTCATACAACAATCATCCAGCATTGCATTCACAAGTTTAAGTACATCCTTCACGGGACAGAAAGTCATCACCTGCCCATTTATAGGATTTACCCACATAAGGTGTGTCGGTCTCTTTTTATTATAAACATACAATCTTGCCCTATTAAATCACTGGTTTGTTTTCTTCCTGCACATTTGTGAGCATGTCCAAGTCAGGGAACATTTTCTGCATATAATCCAAAGATTTATATCCTGAAGATCTTTCTACTAGGGTGCCAGAAGAGTAGAGCGAAAAATTGAATACAGAAACTGACTACCAGGTTTAAAGAACAAAGGTCCATTTTTATATAGTCTTCCAACTTTTCTTTCAAATAGAATTAGCCTTCTTTGTAATCATTCTTTTTTTTCTTGCCAGATTTTTAATTCCAGCCTTTGGCTTCATTATCCCATTCTATCTTAGTTTTAGTAAAGTTACTATTCATTTATTTTGCCTCCTTTTCCTTTTCAGTCATATTTTGGTCAGACTCCATTATTTCTTTCACTGTCTTCAAGGCTTTATTTGATAAGTTTTTCCTCCTTTCAGCTTTTACACATCCTTCCACTTAAGTGGAAAAGCAAAAATCTTGTTGAAACTGAAAACTTTTCACCTTCATATTCTTTTTCTGGGACATACTGTTGTACCAGAATATCAAGGTCCAATTTGGCAAGAGCCACCATGTGTCCTACCTGGGGTTTGAGCCAGCCAGGGCCCAGGGACCACAGTTGGGACTGTGTCCTGACTGACGGGAGCTGGAAGAGGCGTATCTGGTGAGCTAGCATCTGGTGGAGCTAGAAGTACTTTTAAAAATTAGACTTAATGTGGCCCTCCCTGGTGGCGCAGCGGGTTAAAGCGCAGCACTAAGAAGCTAAAGCCACTTCCGCATGAGTTCGATCCCCGCCTGCCCCGGAGGAGATCCACATGGCGTGGCAGACCTCTCCTGACCCGCCCGCTGCTCCCCTCAGCAGTGTACTTCGTCGATCTGCCTGTTCTGTTCTCCACTCTGTCCCTGGTGAATCCTCTCAACCTGCACATCTCTGGCCTGTACCCCAATTCTGTATGAATAAATAAATAAATCTTTAAAAAAAAAAAATTAGACTTAATGTCTATGTTAATTTCTTATGCTAAATGTTTATTTGGGAAGCCCTCCCCGGTATCACAAAGGGTTAAAGAGCAGCACTGTGAAGCTCTCAAAGGCTACTTCAGCAAGAGTTAGATCCCTGCCCTAGAGCTGACCCACCTGGCATGGCAGGCCGCTCCTGACCCACCAGCTGTTCCCCTCAGCAGTGTATTTCATCAGTCTGCCTGTTCTGCTCCCCACTGTCTCTGGTGAAGCCTCTCTCCTCCACCACCCCTGGCCTGTATCCCAGTTCTGTAAGTATAAATAAATAAATCTTAAAAAAAAAATTAGATTTAACTTCTATGTTAACTTCTTATGTTAAATGTTTACTTGGTTCCAAAGTCAAAATTATAAAAATTGTATCTTGTTTTATGTTAATTTTTTAAATGAAACGTTACTTCTTTCCTGGGTTTGTAATATTATATAACGTTGGGAACACAGCTTCCTACCTTGATATATGTATATGCTTTGCCCACCCAAGTTCTAGGGCCACCACACTATCAAATTCACCTTCCCCACCCACCCCTTCATCCCTGACCCACCCTCCTTCCCCTTAGTATTTTTTAACAGTCTAAGAGTTATTTTTGTTGTGTTTTGCCAATTCCTTTGTTTGGCTATTTATATTCCACATATGAGTGAGACGAGACCATCCTTAAATTGTCTTTCACTTTCTGACTTATTTCACTTCACATAATTACCTCAAGCTTTATCCATGTTGTTGCAAAAGGTAAGATTTAATCTTTTTAAATTGCTAAGTAGTGTTCCTCAACTCCTTTACCCAGTCCTCTTTAGGGCATTGAACTTAAAGTCCATGGTTGGCTATTGAGAATGAGCTATGAACATAGAGGTACATACATCCTTTCTAATTAATGGTCTCATATTCTTTAAATAAAAATCTAGGATCGGTATTCCTGGATCATATTCCATTTTTTTAGTTTTAAAAGGAATGTCCATATTGTTCTCCACAGGCATCACACCCATTTACATGGCCAACAATGTACGAGAGTTTCTTTTTCTCCACATTCTCACCAGCAGTTGTTTTCAGTCTTTTTGATATTTGCCATTCTCACAGTTGTGAAGTAAGCCCTCACTGTTGTTTCGACTTGCATTTCCTTAATACCAAATGATGCAGCCATTGCAGCAGGAGTTTGATGCCAGGCCAGGGATTACCTCCACATGGCACAGCAGACCTCCCCTGTGTCACCCACTGCTCCCCTCAGCAGTATATTTCAGTCAGTCTGCCTGTTCTGCTCCCCAATTGGTCTCTGGTGAATCCTCTCACCGCCCCTGCACTCTGGCTTGTACCCTACTTCTGTCTGCATAAAGAAATAAATCTTTGGGCCCTCCCTTGTGGCGCAGCGGGTTAAAGCACAGCACTAAGAAGCTTAAGCTACTTCCACATGAGTTCAATTCCCGC